CTGCTCCCCGTTCACCTAAGGCAAAGAAGCAGCGTCCTGTCAGAAAAAGTTTGGTCGCTGAGGAGGACCTACACATCTTTGACGACTGTCTTCCCTTCATCACTATAAGCCGGGCCGAATCCTTAAGTACAGGGGCCAATCTTTTTGGTTCCCGGGTAGAAGCCGCAGCATCAGGCTCAACTGCGCATGCACCGCCCTCTCCCAGCCACTCGTTAGCCTCCAAAAAGGCTAACGTTTCAACAACACGGGACTCACCCACCTCACTGGTTCCCTCCGAACCATAGAGCGCTCTAGTGGTCCACCGCCCGAGGCCACAACCCCCTTTTTCCACACATCGAGTCTAGGTGTCACATTCCCCACATTTTCAAATTTTTCTAGGACACCTACACCATTCACAGCACATACATGTGCACACACCCTGAATGCAACGACCGGAGTGCAAACGATGACGGTCGGAAGCCCTGCTATGCCAACAATGACTTCGTCATTGAACGCCTACCACACATCAGCTCTCTTCATTGATGCTGTGACAACAGTTACAACCCCCGTAACTGGACCCCTTACACCCGAAGATGTTATTGTTCTCATGGACCGCTACATGGAGTCCACCATCAAACCATGGGTGCAACAAGCATTCACCGCTTGGGCACAGGACTCCAAGACAACCCCAGCGGTTCATAGTGAACAGAGCCACCCCGAACCTCGCTCTTCACCCTCTCAATCAAATCCTCAACCCACTCATGTCATCCCTATCACCTCCACCAAACCCCTTAGCCCTTCACCCTCTCGGGGAACCCATGATACAGAACTAGTATCGCCCCCTACCTCGACCAATCCCTTCCACCTATCCCGTCTTGAGCTCACCGATCTCCTGTTTCTTCAGATGCTGGAGGTCGACGCTTGCAACCTTACACCCTTCGAACGTGACCTTCTCCAAGTTTTCTTCAACCACGACCGCCCTCAATACGGCACTTGCCGTGACAGTCCCCGGGGTCTCAAACGTTCCCATGAGGATCCCGATGATTCGGAACCTCATGAGGGGGAGAACAAGAGACCTCGGACACTTGAGCAAGCAGCCTCTACCAGCCATAACCCCCAGCCAAACACCTCATCAAACCAGCCCACCAACCAACCACCACCTTCCTCGAGCCACAACCAAGCCCAACTCTCTAGCCTGGTCGAGCTAGATGAAACATCCCGAGGCTTATCTCTTAGAGATACTGTCCGAGGAAGGGATGGAAGTCCTGTAGTGGTTACCTCTGGTACATCACAAAGCTCAGGTCATCGATCAGAACACAGTTCGAAATCGATGACAACATCCCGAGGCGTGTCTCCAAAGGATACCGTCCGAGGAGGGGATGGAAGTCCTGACGATGCTATCTCTGATTCATCTGTCAAGTCAGGCCATCAGCCGGAACTCAGTTCTAAGCTGATGACAACGGGCAATCCTAGTGAACCCGGTTGTGCTTCACGAGAAAGATCACCGCAGCTGAGAGTCCCATACATTCCCCAAGGCAAATACATTCATGATGCACTCGAGGATGCTGTAATTCACGACGTTTGGCCGAGAAAGTGGACAATGGGATGATCTTAGATGCGAAGCTGAAACAGAGGATATGCAGCGAAATTGGTGGCTGAGAGAGTTGCTGGCCAAATGCGCAGAAGATATCATACGCCTTGATGAAGAGGAACTCAAAGAAGGGGAGGACTACAAAAAGATACCCAAGGAGCTAGAATCCGTCATCAGACAAACGGCAGGCCAGATGCCCCCAAAAGAAAAGCTCTGGGAAAACATCAGAATAAATGCCCCCTTCCAAGAGGAAATCAGAAAGGGAATTTGGAGAACCGCAGACAAGCTCAAGCAGCTCGATGAACTGAAGATCCGTGGCTTGACTCACCTTAAGGGCAAACTGGCTGGCGGACATCTTCACATGCTGATGCACAGATCATCTGGAAAACAACGACAAATACTTAAAAGAGACATGAAGTCCAGCATCCACCCTATTGACGCTATCCTTGATGTGCACAGAGAAGATCATCACACCATCCCGTTCTACAGCTTCAAAGTTCGACGAACAGACTCCAGCATATTCATCTGCCAGGAAAATGATTTTATAATGATGAAGATGGAGGATATCTACCAAATGTTCATGGTAAGTAGGTATCTATCACTGAATCGGAACAGGACACACGAAGAAGGTTATGAGGCGATCAAGCGATTTATGCTGAGACAGATCAGATTCTATGTTGCCCATGATCTACAGATGGCCCTGGAAAACAATGTCAGAAAAGCAAATCTGGTAAAGCCAACTCTGAACGGTCCAGAGCTCAAAAAGTACAGACCATATCATATCTTCAAGGACCCAGTCTCTATCATATATCTCAATCACGAGGAACAGAAAAGACTCATGTGGGTAGAAGACATTCACAAGTATTGTGATGGGACTCTGAAGATCATCCAGACTAAGCTGCAGGAGATCAAGGAGAATATATAGATCCAAGACTTGCGGACGCCAGCGAGGAAGAGCTCATAGTATACAAGAAGGTGTGGACCATCCTAAAGCCCATCAACGAGCAACTTGAAAAGAGAAGAATGCTGAGACAGTATGAGCATGCGCTAAATTTCAGAAAGCATTACTTCAGATCTCAAAAATAAATGCAAGACGGCACTTGATCACACAGGGGGAGATTGTTGAAGACTATTTTATTGTGAATCAAGTTTGTCTGTTTTGTCTGTAATAATTTAGATGTTTACTATTCTTGTTCTGCACTGATTAAATATATCTGTTAGAATAGTATTCAATATGGGCCAAGTGTTAGGCCCATACTTAGCCGAGAAGCCCTATTTTATGCATACCTGAGCCTCGCCTATAAAAGAGGGTGAAGGACTCAGGTTTGCGGTTAACTTTCGTATCTGCTCAAAATAGCCTTAGCGCTTATCATTCTTGTACGAACTGTTCACGGTATATCAGAGAAGGTTTACGCTTGATCTTTCTGTGTTCATCTTTGTTGTTAATCTTTCATCTGTATGCCATATTATCTTGTTGTTATAGAAAACAGGGACTAACATTCCTAAATCAGTTGTTCCTTTTCTGCTGCAACTAGAGCTTGGGATTCTATGTATGCAAGTCTTTCCTCTTGTTGAGGGGTTAGTGCATTTGGCTTTTGATTTTCAGGTTGTGGAGGTGCTTGATAACCATCATCAGGTTATGGTGGAGCTAGTGTAAGTTCGAGAGATAGAGAGTTGAAAGAGGGATTCATTTTGAATTTGCTGAAGGGATTTGTTTGGAAAAGAAGATTGATGCTTGACAGAGTAAGAAAGAGTTTTGGCAAGATTTAGAGACGAACTATCACACGTTTGAGGAGGAGGATTTATATCCAATTGGTTCAGATTGTCTCTTCATCTTTCAAGAATTGTTAGGAGGTCGATGCATTGTTGATTTAATGCTTTTAGCGGCGGATTCTCTTTTCAAGAGATAGAATGAGAATTTCATTAAATGGTATTGATGACAATCATTAATGAAGCCGCTGAATAGGTTTACTCGGATCAACATGTGTTGCTCTTGGATGTTGCATGTAACCATAAATTCGTTCTGTTTTGAAGTCTGACACTTCCTTTTTGCATGCCTTGTTTCCTCAGAAATGGATAATTCTAGTATACTGTTTTAGTTTGTTTATGGCTAATTTTGACAGTAATCAATAAAAATATGATGCTAACTTTGAGGATTTTGCATAGGATTTTGATGAACTGAATTAAGGAGATCTTGGCGTTTAATTTGGTCTGTTGATTTTTTGGGACAAAGACTCATGGAAACTCCATGCGGAAGATTATTCAGTAAGAAAAAACCCTCAGATTGAAGACTCGTTTCACTATAACTATAAATCAGACAAAGATGATCACATATTCAAGTATATTCCTACTGCCAGTTGGTTAGAAAAATTTAAACAAATCTATGAATAAGTTGCTTACTAAAACAGTTCTAGAAAAACCTATAAATCCCAGAAACGCAAAAACAAAACTTTATTAGTTGCTCCACAAGATCTATGAGATGAATGCAAAACAAATAGCATCAAAGAATGCAACATTGTATAATGTCCAATTGTTGATTGAACTCCTCTCTAATAGCTGTAAAATAATCAAAGGCACGTCCTTAATGAAAAAGATCTTTTGGGAACATTATTGGACACATCCCTCACAAGCTTCTTTATGCTAGATTTAGAATTCAAGTCTGTTGTTCAAATTGTTTAATCTAAAAACGAATACAAAATAAAATCAAAGTCAGAAGCCAGGCAAGCAATCAATTGAAACAAAGAATGAAAGAAAGCACCATTCTATATAGAGTTTACAGTTGAGCAAGGATGGTGCTTTCTTTCATGCTTTGTTTCAGTTGATTGCTTGCCTGGCTTCTGACTTTGATTTTATTTTGTATTCGTTTTTAGATTAAACAATTTGAACAACAAACTTGAATTCTAAATCTAGCAGAAAGAAGCTTGTGAGGGATGTGTCCAATAATGTTCCCAAAAGATCTTTTTCATTAAGGACGTGCCTTTGATTATTTTAAAGCTATTAGAGAGGAGTTCAATCAACAATTGGACATTATACAATTTTGCATTCTTTGATGCTATTTGTTTTGCATTCATCTCATAGATCTTGTGGAGCAACTGATAAAGTTTTTTTTTGTGATTCTGGGTTTTATAGGTTTTTCTAGAACTGTTTTAGTAAGCAACTTATTCATAGATTTGTTTAAATTTTTCTAATCAACTAGCAGTAGAAATATACTTGAATATGTGATCATCTTTGTCTGATTTATAGTGGTAGTGAAACGAGTCTTTGGTCTGTTGATTTTTTCTTACTGAATAATCATCTGCATGGAGTTGCCATGAGTCCCAGTCCCAAACAATCAACAGACCAAATTAAACGTCAAGATCTCCTCATCAAAATCCTATGCAAAATTAAACCCCAAACTCTCTAGCTTCTTACATTTCTCTAGGAATCCATTGAGGATTTCGCCGTTCTCGGCATCATGAACACCGAGATTGGCTTCCCTGAAGCAACCTAAGGCTAACGTATACCTGTCAAGGGAGAGAAAGATCTTACCTTTACAGAGCAGTGCCTTGAAATTGGGGTTCTCGATCCTCAACGTCTCGTCGCAATATTGCAAGGCGGATTGGAATTGGCGGAGGCGGAAGTGGGACTCAGCCTGATTGCAGAGAACTACGCAGAGGGATTTACTAAGCTTGGAAAGGCGGTCGGAGTTAGGGTTTAGATGGAGTCTGGAGATATGGGAATTGCAGAGAGAAATGAACTGAGAATATACATGGATGCATTCGGTCCATTCTTCTCCGAGTAGATGCTTCGTAGCTTTTGATCTCAGTTGCCGTATTTATTAGGATAAAAAATACGTTGAGTGACTTTTGGTCACTCAAGGTTTGTATGACCAGCTAGTATTTCAAAATCAAACCAAATATTTAACTGGTAGGATAACAAATCCTATTAAGGCAAAAATCATTACCTTATTGCATTTTGTGTTCCAGTTAAATAATAGTACATTCGAAATACTTTGTTTTCATTTGATGTGATATTAACAAATAAGTTAAGCTTGTAGGATCTATAAGAAATCCTTATTATAAGGTAATGGAATATTACCTTATAGTATTTTGACTTTTCTAGTTAAACTTATTTGTTAATTGACCATTTGAGCAAGACACTTTCAGAATTTCAAATTTAAAGAATTTGTTCTGGTCCGGAGGTAACAGAGACCCTCACTCTATGGTCCGGAGCACTTCTGTCCGGAGTCAACAGAGACCTTCGCTCTCTGGTCCGGAGCAATTCTGTCTGAGGCCAACAGAATACTTGAAAGGTGTTCTGGTACGGAAGCCAACAAAATACTTTACTCAACAAATGGTTAGAGCAGAATACATGATAGCTACCAAAGATGGGGGGAACAAAAAATAAAACTATGGCATCATCGAAACACTTTATCAAAATCTAGGGGACTAACAATTTCCCCCTTTTTTGATGATGCCAAAAGAAGAGTGTAAAACATTTAGAGTTTTTTATTAAAGATGTTTTACTACTCCCTTTCCCCCTTTTTTGGTAGCATTTTTTATTCATCCCAAATTTTTCCTGTTCGAAGCTTCTCCAGGAAAGATGTCTCTTGTTGCGTTTCTCTTTCTTCTGTTCTCGATGGCTTGGTCAAGTTTGAAATGGAAAACATTGTTGATGTTCTTTATTGAGAGTGATGTCTCAATGTCTTGTGTCATCAACCATCTTAGAGAGAACGTCTCCTCTCCTATCATTTGTGGTCTTTTTTGAATGAGAGTATCAATGTCTGATAATCTCCACTTCCTCCATTCCAGCACTCGAAGTCGTTCCTGAATCAGTTGTTCCTTTTTTGCTGCAACTAGAGCTTGGGATTCTATGTATGCAAGTCTTTCCTCTTGTTGAAGGGTTAGTGCATTTGGCTTTTGGTTTTCAGGTTGTGGAGGTGCTTGATAACCATCATCAGGTTATGGTGGAGCTAGTGTAAGTTCGAGAGATAGAGAGTTGAAAAAGGGATTCATTTTGAATTTGCTGAAGGGATTTGTTTGGAGAAGATGATTGATGCTTGACAGAGTAAGAAAGAGTTTTGGCAAGATTTAGAGACGAACTATCACACGTTTGAGGAGGATTTATATCCAATTGGTTCAGATTGTCTCTTCATCTTTCAAGAATTGTTAGGAGGTCGATGCATTGTTGATTTAATGCTTTTAGCGCCGGATTCTCTTTTCAAAAGATAGTATGAGAATTTCATTAAATGGTATTGATGACCATCATTAATGAAGCTGCTGAGTAGGTTTACTCGGATCAACATGTGTTGCTCTTGCATGTTGCATGTAACCATAAATTCGTTCTGTTTTGAAGTCTGACACTTCCTTTTTGCATGCCTTGTTTCCTCAGAAATGGATAATTCTAGGATACTGTTTTAGCTTGTTTATGGTTAATTTTTACAGTAATCAATAAAAATAGGATGCTAACTTTGAGGATTTTGCATAGGATTTTGATGAACTGAATTAAGGAGATCTTGGCGTTTAATTTGGTCTGTTGATTTTTTGGGACTGAGACTCATGGCAACTCCATGCGGAAGATTATTCAGTAAGAAAAAACCCTCAGACTGAAGACTCGTTTCACTACAACTATAAATCAGACAAAGATGATCACATATTCAAGTATATTCCTACTGCCAGTTGATTATAAAAATTTAAACAAATCTATGAATAAGTTGCTTACTAAAACAGTTCTAGAAAAACCTATAAAACCCAGAAACACAAAAAAAACTTTATCAATTGCTCCACAAGATCTATGAGATGAATGCAAAACAAATAGCATCAAAGAATGCAAAATTGTATAATGTCCAATTGTTGATTGAACTCCTCTCTAATAGTTGTAAAATAATCAAAGGCATGTCCTTAATGAAAAAGATCTTCTGGTAACATTATTGGACACATCCCTCACAAGCTTCTTTCTGCTAGATTTAGAATTCAAGTCTGTTGTTCAAATTGTTTAATCTAAAAATGAATACAAAATAAAATCAAAGTCAGAAGCCAGACAAGCAATCAACGGAAACAAAGCATGAAAGAAAACACCATTCTTGCTCAATTGTAAACTCTATATAGAATGGTGCTTTCTTTCATTCTTTGTTTCAGTTGATTGCTTGCCTGGCTTCTGACTTTGATTTTATTTTGTATCCGTTTTTAGATTAAACAATTTGAACAACACACTTGAATTCTAAATCTAGCATAAAGAAGCTTGTGAGGGATGTGTCCAATAATGTTCCCAAAAGATCTTTTTCATTAAGGACGTGCCTTTGATTATTTTACAGCTATTAGAGAGAAGTTCAATCAACAATTGAACATTATACAATTTTGCATTCTTTGATGCTATTTGTTTTGCATTCATCTCATAGATCTTGTGGAGCAACTGATAAAGTTTTTTTTTGTGATTCTGGGTTTTATAGGTTTTTCTAGAACTGTTTTAGTAAGCAACTTATTCATAGATTTGTTTAAATTTTTATAATCAACTAGCAGTAGAAATATACTTGAATATGTGATCATCTTTGTCTGATTTATAGTTATAGTGAAACGAGTCTTCGGTCTATTTATTTTTTCTTACTGAATAATCTTCCGTATGGAGTTGCCATGAGTCCCGGTCCCAAACAATCAACAGACCAAATTAAACGTCAAGATCTCCTCATCAAAATCCTATGCAAAATTAAACCCCAAACTCTCTAGCTTCTTACATTTCTCTAGGAATCCGTTGAGGATTTCGCCGTTCTCGGCATCATGAACACCGAGATTGGCTTCCCTGAAGCAACCTAAGGCTAACGTATACCTGTCAAGGGAGAGAAAGATATTACCTTTACAGAGCAGTGCCTTGAAATTGGGGTTCTCGATCCTCAACGCCTCGTCGCAATCTTGCAAGGCGGATTGGAATTGGCGGAGGCGGAAGTGGGACTCAGCCCGATTGCAGAGAGCTACGCAGAGGGATTTACTGAGCTTGGAATGGCGGTCGGAGCTAGGGTTTAGATGGAGTCTGGAGATATGGGAATTGCAGAGAGAAATGAACTGAGAATATACATGGATGCATTCGGTCCATTCTTCTCCGAGTAGATGCTTCGTAGCTTTTGATCTCAGTTGCCGCATTATTTCTGCTTCTTCGTCTTCTTCATCTTCTTCCCAGATCTCTGCTTGAAATTCTGCTTCTCCCATTTCTGCTCTTTCTCGTCTGCGTGAGTTCTTGATTTTGGGACGATGCAAGTAATGTTCATTTAATGTCCCGTTCTGTGGCAAGTTCGAACAGCTAATACGAAGTACGGAGTATTTCTTTTATTTGCATCCACTTTAACATGTTCCTTTAAATTGATCTTACTTTAATTTTATTTTATTTTCTAATCTCACTTAAATATGACGCTCAACAAATAAACAAATACATTTTTATTAGGATAACAAATACGTTGAGTGACTTTTGGTCACTCAACGTTTGTATGACCAGTTTGTATTTCGAAATCAAACCAAATATTTAACTGGTAAGATAACAAATCCTATTAAGGCAAAAATCATTACCTTATTGCATGTTGTGTTCCAGTTAAATAATAGTACATTCGAAATACTTTGTTTTCATTTGATGTGATTTTAACAAATAAGTTAAGCTCGTAGGATCTATAAGAAATCCTTATTATAAGGTAATGGAATATTACCTCATTGTATTTTGACTTTTCTAGTTAAACTTCTTTGTTAATTGACCATTTGAGCAAGACACTTTCAGAATTTGAAATTTAAAGAATTTGTTCTGGTCCGGAGGCAACAGAGATCCTCACTCTCTGGTCCGGAGCACTTCTGTCCGGAGTCAACAGAGACCTTCGCTCTCTGGTCCGAAGTAATTCTGTCTGAGGCCAACAGAATACTTGAAAGGTGTTCTGGTACGAAAGCCAACAAAATACTTTACTCAACAAATGGTTAGAGCAGAATACATGATAGCTACCAAAGATGGGGGGAAACAAAAAAGAAAACTATGGCATCATCGAAACACTTTATCAAAATCTAGGGGACTAACAATTTCCTCCTTTTGTGATGATGCCAAAAGAAGAGTGTAAAACATTTAGAGTTTTTTATTAAAGATGTTTTACTACTGCCTTTCCCCCTTTTTTTGGTAGCATTTTTTATTCATCTCAAATTTCTCCTGTTCGAAGGTTCTCCAGGAAAGAGGTCTCTTGTTGCGTTTCTCTTTCTTCTGTTCTCGATGGCTTGGTCAAGTTTGAAATGGAAGACATTGTTGATGTTCTGTATTGAGAGTGATGTCTCAATGTCTTGTGTCATCATCCATCTCAGAGAGAACGTCTCCTCTCCTATCATCTGTGGTCTTTTTTGAATGAGAGTATCAATGTTTGATAATCTCCACTTCCTCCATTCCAGCACTCGAAGTCGTTCCTGAATCAGTTGTTCCTTTTCTGCTGCAACTAAAGCTTGGGATTCTATGTATGCAAGTCTTTCCTCTTGTTGAGGGGTTAGTGCATTTGGTTTTTGGTTTTCAGGTTGTGGAGGTGCTTGATAACCATCATCAGGTTATGGTGGAGCTAGTGTAAGTTCGAGAGATAGAGAGTTGAAAGAGGGATTCATTTTGAATTTGCTGAAGGGATTTGTTTGGAGAAGATGATTGATGCTTGACAGAGTAAGAAAGAGTTTTGGCAAGATTTAGAGACGAACTATCACACGTTTGAGGAGGAGGATTTATATCCAATTGGTTCAGATTGTCTCTTCATCTTTCAAGAATTGTTAGGAGGTCGATGCATTGTTGATTTAATGCTTTTAGCGGCGGATTCTCTTGTCAAGAGATAGTATGAGAATTTCATTAAATGGTATTGATGATCATCATTAATGAAGCCGTTGGGTAGGTTTACTCGGATCAACATGTGTGGCTCTTGCATGTTGCATGTAACCATAAATTTGTTCTGTTTTGAAGTCTGGCACTTCCTTTTTGCATGCCTTGTTTCCTCAAAAATGGATAATTCTAGGATACTGTTTTAGCTTGTTTTTGGCTAATTTTGACAGTAATCAAGAAAAATAGGATGCTAACTTTGAGGATTTTGCATAGGATTTTGATGAACTGAATTAAGGAGATCTTGGCGTTTAATTTGGTCTGTTGATTTTTTTGGGACTGAGACTCATGGCAACTCCATGCGGAAGATTATTCAGTAAGAAAAAACCCTCAGACTAAAGACTCGTTTCACTACAACTATAAATCAGACAAAGATGATCACATATTCAAGTATATTCCTACTACCAGTTGATTAGAAAAATTTAAACAAATGTATGAATAAGTTGCTTACTAAAACAGTTCTAGAAAAACCTATAAAACCCAGAAACACAAAAAAAACTTTATCAGTTGCTCCACAAAATCTATGAGATGAATGCAAAACAAATAGCATCAAAGAATGCAAAATTGTATAATGTCCAATTGTTGATTGAACTCCTCTCTAATAGCTGTAAAATAATCAAAGGCACGTCCTTAATGAAAAGATCTTTTGGGAACATTATTGGACACATCCCTCACAAGCTTCTTTCTGCTAGATTTAGAATTCAAGTCTGTTGTTCAAATTGTTTAATCTAAAAATGAATACAAAATAAAATCAAAGTCAGAAGCCAGACAAGCAATCAACTGAAACAAAGCATGAAAGAAAGTACCATTCTTGCTCAACTGTAAACTCTATATAGAATGGTGCTTTCTTTCATGCTTTGTTTCAGTTGATTGCTTGCCTGGCTTCTGACTTTGATTTTATTTTGTATTCGTTTTTAGATTAAACAATTTGAACAACAAACTTGAATTCTAAATCTAGCAGAAAGAAGCTTGTGAGGGATGTGTCCAATAATGTTCCCAAAAGATCTTTTTCATTAAGGACGTGCCTTTGATTATTTTACAGCTATTAGATAATAGTTAATATAAATTAGGAATCCTTGTGTATTTTGGCAACTCTTATTTTACTATAAATATACTTGCCAGGACTCCTATTGGAGTACGGTTTTCCCAATTATCTCACATGGTATCAAGAGCCTTAACCTAATTTTTTTTTCTCTCCCCTAAAATTCAGCGCCGCCATGAGCACTTCGCCCTACTCCAGCGCCGCAGCCATGGTCTCTTCGGCCATGGGCTCGGCTGCCGCTGCTGCCGCTTCTTCCCAGGCACCGGCGCACACAACAATCTCTCTTCAGACGGCACTGCCAGGCTTCTCCACGCCTCCGGCCGTCACAGCTGCCATCTCGAGCGCAACCGGATCACCGGTGATGACGCCGACATCTTCAACCTTTTTTACCAATTTTCCTCCACCTCCAAATTTCTCTATCCCTGCGCCTATTCATCAATTTCAGTCGTTCCCATCGTAGCATACATGGCTTACGCCAGCCCCTATCCAGCCGCCAGATCATAATCCACCGCCTCCAACGGTTTTGCAGCCGGCAGTGACGTCCTTCTTCGGCCCTACTTTCTCCGGGTCACCTGAAGTTCTTCGGCCGCCTGATCAATCGGGATTTGGCTCCCCGATGTCTGCCCTTGCTCAGTCTGTTTCCCATATTACCACGGTCTCTCAAATCATCACCATTAAACTGAAGGCAGTCGAGGATTATCTCACCTGGCGTACACAGTTTGAATCCTTCTTGGTTTCTCAAGGCCTCCTTGGGATCGTGGATGACTCTATTCAGGTACCCCCGATGTATACAGTTGATTTTTGTTGGAGATATTTTATTGTGAATCAAGTTGGTCATAGATTAGCTTTATATTTAATCCTTGTATTTAAAAAGTGCATAAATTAGATAGAAATCAGGTCAAGTGTTAGGCCCATTTAAACAGGCCAAAAGCCTGTTTCGCCTAACCTAAACCTCGCCTATAAAAAGGGAGCCGAGGTTTAGGAAAAGGTTGAACGTCGTACTTATTATTCATAGCCTTACGCTTATATCATTCTGTTGTACGTTCCACGATTTATCAAAGAAGGTTTTACGGTGATTCATTCTGTGTTCATCTTTACGTTTAATCTTCCTTGTTAGATCGATTATTCATTGCTGTTACAGAAACAGGGACTAACAATTGGTATCAGAGCCGATCGAGAACGATCAGAAGAACTCCTGAAGAATACTCTGTTTTTGTTAACGTAGTTCATTGTGTCGATTTTTTGCTCTGTAATTTTGTTTCTTGTTCAAAAGTTGTAAATGTTACACCTTTGGAATCGCCTTTTCAAAGCAATCAAAGGGTATACTTCAGTTTGTGTTTTACGCAATTTTTGATTTCGAGATATCTCGAGCTAGGCATCTCGACATCCTAGTTCTTCACAGGTTCTGCTACGTTTTTTGAGCTGAAAACTTTACCAGAAGATCTCGACATTCAACTCTACAGGAAACTATCTTCAGATTTTGATTATCTGATTTTTACAGGTTGAAAGATTTCGACATTGAGGATTTCGACATCTAGGATTTCGAAATCTTGATTTCGAGAAAAGGTTTCGACATCTGGTCTCGACATTTGACTCATCGGATTAAGATTTCGAGATATTAACTTCTCGACATTTCAAATCTCGAGATCAGCATCTCGAAATTTGAAATCTCGAGATCCCAAATCTCGAGATCCTTAATCTCGAGCCCAAATCTCGATACCGGGCCTCCTTTATCGAAATCTGAGATTTCGATATTCAGATCTCGACATCTGATTTTTCGAGATTCTGCCTCTGAAAATCTTTTGATCAATTTTCTCGAACGGTCAGTTCAGTACAGCAATGGGTTCAGAATACAATGCACAAGGGAACAGCAGTACCCCTCCTAGCCTCAGGAAGGGAGAATACCAAATGTGGAGGAACAGATTTCTAAACTTCCTCGAGCACAAAGAAAACTCTTCTGCAATGCTCGAATCTTTGCTTGAAGAACCAGCTGAACTCTTGATTTCAGTTGGTGGAGATCCAGAGAACAATCCTCCTATTTTTCCAGAAATAAGGAGAAAAGTTCCATCTGAATACACAGAAGCCGACAAGCTCAGACTTCGTGGTGATCTTATGGCCAAAACGTATCTCCTTCAAGCAATACCGAACGAGGTTTATGTTCTCATAGATAGCATGCAGACAGCTAAGGAGATGTGGGATGAAATAGAGAAGCTGCTACAAGGCACAAGCATCAGCCTCAAAACAAAGAAGACTACAATTCTCATCGCTTATGACTCCTTCAAAGCAGGACCAGGAGAACCATTGAA